ATTAGTTAATTAATAGTTAATTAAATAAATAGTTAATTAACTAGTTTAATAATAGTTAATTAAATAAAAATAAATAAATATTACCTTCCTCCAACCAAAAGACAGGAGATGTATCCAGAAAACAAAAAGAATAATTATAAATTAACAAAAATTATAAACACCTAATGGGAAAAAAATAGGCAAAGAACTTATATAGGGACTTAATAGAGAGGCATTAAGATGATCATTAACATAAAAAAAAGTATGCAACTTTGTTAGGCATTAGAGAAAGGCAAATTAAAACTGTAATAGCATACAGTTGACCCTTGAACAACTCAGGGGTTGGGGCACTAACTCCTCCGCACAGTCAAATCCAAGTACAGACTATGTTCAGCTCGCACTTACAGATGGAGGCTATTACAGTAAGTCCCCTAGTTACAAACACCCAACTGATGTACAACTCTCACTTACTAATGGAGTCTATTCCAGGTACTAGGCACATGTACCTGTTCCACCTTACATACAGATTCAACTTAAGAACAAACCTACAACCTATCTTGTTCACAACCTGGGCACTGCCTGTGTAACTTTTGACTCCTCCCAAACTTAACTACTAATATTTTAAAAAATTCATTCCGATTTTTTGTATGGGTATGTTAAGTTCATTTGCGTGTTTGAATACATCCTCTATATCAGTGGTTCTCAACCTTCGTAATGCCCCGGCCCTTTAATATGGTTCCTGTGGGTCGTGATACACAGGTTGAGAACCACTGTTCTATATAGTCTTCAGGTTGAAGATAAACCATTAAGCTCCAGACTTACCAGCTGTATTAGTGCTTTGCTTGGGGAAATCTGATTTATTTTTTTGAGCCTGCCAATGCTAGAAAGCATCGAGATGCAGGATGGTCTGCACATTCCTAAATGAAAAAAGTGATGGTTTCTTGTACAGAGGACAGAAGCATCAAATTACAGGAGATTTTGTATGTTTTTATCTTAGCAAAGAGCCATAAATGTAACAATTGTGGTTTTAAGGGGTTCTCTTGTACCACAGAGATGAACAGAACAATATGCTTTAATAATGTGCAATCATTTTCAAGTTAATATTCTCCAAACATTTCAGCAAGTATGAGGAAGGAGCTGCCAGATACTGTGAAATCTACAAGGACGTGATTTAATCATGGTGGGACATCATTTGGGTTTTTGTCACTTGGGAAAAATTCTAATAAATATGAATGTTTGAGCAAGATTTAAAAAAACAGTCTTGTGTACAACTGCAGTTTGCCAGCACACTTAGCTAGCTAGTTATTAGGCCTTTTAGACTTTAAGATACCTGACAACTAGCATGTTTTTGTGGGTAAGCTGGTAAACTGTTTACTGGTAGGGTCCCCTGTGCTGTAATATTTAGGTGGAGTGATCACTGGATCATTTGTATTTTGAATCATTTGCTTTCTTGGGTTTTTTTGTTTGTTTTTTGTTTTTAAAGACAGAGTCTCACTTTCTCACCTTTGGTAGAGTGCTGTAGCATCGTAGCTCACAGCAACCTCCAGCTCTTGGGCTTCGGTGATTCTCTTGCCTCAGCCTCCCGATTAGCTGGGACTACAGGTGCCCACCACAATGCCTGGCTATTTTTTTGTTGTTGCAGTTTGGCTAGGGCTGGGTTCGAACCCGCCACTCTCGTTATATGGGGCTGGCGCCCTACTCACTGAGCCACAGGTACCACTCTGAATCATTTGCTTTCTAAGGGAGCTAGCCTACCCTGTACTTTTAGAAAGGTGTCAGTTTGTTCCCCTGGCAGTGGTTGAATAAAATCCTGGTTAAGAAGCACTGTTGTAGAGGATTTTGTAGTTGCGTAGTTACTGTGTTTCCCTGAGAGTAAGATCTAAATTTCTGGTTATTAGCCTTTTAGTAACCTCTGTTATTGAGGACCAATTTTAGAGCAGACTATTCAAAAAATTACAGAACATTTCTGAGAAATGAGTGTGAATTATTGAAAGCAAAATATGAAGTATAAGCAATGTTTTATGTCCTCATATACTGTGTTTTTTGAGAGACGTAAGTAATTAAAAATAGGATGCATCTGGCTCAGCGCCTGTGGCTCAAGTGGCTAAGG